CTCAGATCAGTTTGATGTTGAAAGGAGGATAGCGATGTGAAATAAAAACTCCCCTCAAATATCTTAAACATAAAGTAACAAGCCTGTATGGAATAGAAAGAAGAAAGTACAGAAATGTGTGTAAAAATGCACAATAAAGAGTAAAATGTTGCCAGAGAAATAAATAAAGTATAGATCCCTAAGATTTCTACTAAATTAGAGTAAAGCAGGGTGGTTGAGACTGGGGAAACACTGGCGGTACAATAAATATGAAACAAAACAGATCTAAAATACAACAATTCAAGGGCTAATGACTCTAGAACACGAGTAAATAGAAATAAAAAACAAAGCTAAAAACCCAGGGATCATGACAGAGAGCAAAATGTTTATTTTTGCTTCTACTGTAGTAATGCAAAAATACATTTTTAGGAAGGTTTTGTAGTTGCCAGAACTTTGTTGATCCATTGAAGATATTTTGAGATGTCCGTATAGACATTGGGCACATCTGGGTAGTTACAGTTGTGATATTTGTTGAAAGAAACAATACCAACAGCTAAACCGTTGCACACCAGAGGACCACCAGAATCACCCTGTGAGGAAGGAGGATTTTCAGTTTTCATTTCATATTTTATTTAGGTTGTTCAGCTATTTGTCAACAGGAAACAAGTAGACATAGACAATGAAAGGACAGAAGCCATACCTGACAGAATCCTTTGTCTGTGCCGTATCCACCTGCACAGATAACATTGACAGGAAGACCGGGCCATTGTTCCCTACAGACTTCTGGGTTAATGACGGACACGTTCACCACTCTCAGGTCATCGACAACTGAGCCACCATTTTTAGTTTTTCCCCATCCAGCCACTTGACAAATTTGATTTTCTTCCAAGGTTATTTCAGCACATGGAAGTTGAATTATTTGTACTTTGCAGCCTAGTTGAGCTTTCCTAGACAGCTGTAGACACACAACAGCATTGAATTAGAAATGTCTATTTTTCTAGTACATTTGTAGTATTTATGTAATCTAAATAAATAAACCATAAATTACATCACCTGTAATGGTTGTTTGTGTAAATATATACTTACTTTAAGGAGCATGATGTCCTCACCCAGCCAAACATCATTAAAATTGCTGGGTTTGAATTTCCTTTCGACGATTATTTTTATATCACTGCCCTGCTGGAGATTGTGGTTGCCAATAACAACATGTGTGATGTTCCTGAACAAGTAATCATTGAGATGTGGTGAATATGTTTAAGAAAACTATTTTAATGGCGCGCATCAGAGACTGCCTCACAAGAAAACATATTACTTACACAGTGTCACAGTGTGCAGCGGTTACAACAAAGTCCTCAGTGACAAGAAATCCTCCACATACATGACCCTTGCTGCTCTGTACAGAAGCCATGTACAACATTGATTTATCTGGCGCTTTTTTACCATGTATGATGTCAGTTCCATATCCTGCAAAAAAATGGAAAATAAAGTAAGCCAAAACACTGTAAATGTCACATTAACACGCTCTTATGATTCTCAAATGACACACTTTCTCTGTGTATATACATAGTTTCTCTTTCACATATTTTGTCAATAGCAGGGATAGTGATAATGGGCAGAAAATAATATTAATGTCATTCTTACCTAGTTGTCCCAGACATGTCAGAACATAGACCAGCAGAAATGCATGCAGATTTTCCATGTTGCCACTGAAACAGCCTCCGGGGGTGTCAAGGAGACCCTTTTATACAGCAGTTTGCTGTGTTGTCAAGTATGATTATCATCATTCTTATTTTGACTTATAACCACATCCTTTATTCGGTGTATGTGTGCCCTTCACTTGGAACCTTGGTGTTATCGTGCTTATCATAACTGCACAGTACCTCATCAGTCTTAACCACATTCTGTGTCTTTTTAGACCTCCTCCAAGTCAGATCGATTTAATCAGTAAAAACAGACATTTTAATTCTTTTATAAAAACCAAAGTCTGTCAGAATGATCGATTGGTTGTTCTCTCTGAATTACTTTCTTTCCTTTTCTTGCCTTACTTTGTTCTTACTAGGCTACTGTAGACCTGCTTCTCTTCACTGTTTGTAAGTAAGTGTTTTATGAGTGGTTTATATGTCATTGATATTGCTGAATGTAATGTGTTCCCCAAAGTAAGTTACGGTTAATCACACAACATTTTTAAGCAACGTACTAATGTAAATGTTGAATAGTTCCTGGACTGGTTCTCACGCGGCACTTTTCTCCTCTACTTGAGGTATGTTGTTTGAAGCACTCACAGCACTTTAAACAACATACCACATTCACCCATTCATTCATACAGGCACTTTTTTTTCTATGCTCAAGTGCTGTTTACACTCTGCATACATCTGAGAGTAACTTGGGTCTAGTAACTTGCCCAAGCGTATTTGGCATGCAGCGTGCTATTATATTAAATTCAGTAATTCACTAAATTCAGTAATCACATTACTATTACAATGATTTAAGTTCTGGCATTGCAAAGATTCTGAACTCATGGGCATGAATGTCAAATGGAAAGATATCTTTTTTTTAATGCACACTTGCACTGCAATCACAGTAAAGCTATTCTGAGGTGACTACACCTGTAGTATCACTTCTTGTAAGACAAGCTTTTCGTGCCCTCTTTTCCAGGCAAACTTAGATATCAGATTAGATGGTGACAGTTTTAAACCCACAGATACAAGAGCGGTACAGCTGCAGTTCTATTTTTTTAATCTCAGCTTTTGAACACTGTTTTCGAAACTTTATACCCTTTTGGATACTGCTGACTAACAATTCATAAATGAATAACACAAAGGACACACAGCTATTTTTTTATGTAGCTCAAAGCTCACTGAAAAACTTTACATTCACTGTGACGAAGTATAACTGAACCACAGAAACCGCAGATAACAAATTTCATGTAGAACATCAATGTTCTCAATATCACAGTGATGAAAGTGAAATATAAAAATATAAGCTTACTACTAAATAGTAGTAAGGGGGAACACCTTAATATATTTACATGTTTATATGTTATGTCCTAAGTGAATTTAAAGATTTAACATTTTTCACTCCAGTAGTTGGTGCTAGTATGAAAGAGAGCCACCTCTTCTGACTTTACTGACTTCAGAGTGACTTTGTGTTGACCTCACATGTCACAAAGCCACTGGAGAGATTGGCTCTCATCAGTTCACAAGTGGAACATGTTCATGACCCCCTTCAGTTTGCTTACCAGGCTCTTGTAGGGGGTGGATGATGGCATTATTTACATGCTGTGGCACTCTTACTCTCAGCCAGGTGATATTGGTGACATTGTGAGAGAAAGCGCTCTAGATGGATGTCACCACTCCAACTATGTCCTAGATTTCTAGTAATCTGTCAGAGAAACCTTAGTTTGATGTTCTGGTTAATGATGTTTTACACTACCTCACATTATAAACCTTGTATTATGGGCCTCTAACATGATGGGCCAAGACAAACATTCTGGAAATACTTTGTTTGTTTGGTGACCTGGATGAACTGCTTCAGGCAGGAAGAGCATGGTGATGATTGCGTGATATAAGATAAGGTGTCTTATACCATGGTCTGCAGAGCTTGAAACACTTTCATAGCATTATCTGACAAGAATGTGATGAGTTCAGCAAATGTTGTTAGATCAAAGCTGTTGTTTTTCTTTTTTGCTCCACTTTTTTTTTGGTTCCCTTTTACACTGCTACAACTAGATGACTAAGAGAAACCACAGCGTCAGTCTTCAGGTTTTACCACCTTTGCTTTTGCATGTGTTATGGTGGCATGTGCAAGTAATTTCTTAATTCCTGACTGCCAGCAGTGTGTGTGTGTGTGTGTGTGTGTGTGTGTGTGTGTGT